ATCAACCGATATGGAGGGAAGGGGGGAGAGGGGAGAGGAAACAGTCAACTACCAGGGCCGTCAGTCCGGAGATACCTGTGCAGGGAGATGTATGCCGGCGCCAGATCGATAAATTGATTGACTATGTACTCATCCGAGGGCCAGGCTTCAATCAATTCGCGGCCTGTTTTGTTACTAGCGTGCGCGATTACCCTCGCAGCTGCGGAATTAAACTCATGACCGGTCTCGTAGGTATGGGCGGCCACTTGCGATAATGCGTCACCCACCAGCTTACGTTCTTATATGCGCGAACCAAGCATACGTACTGTCTGTCGTGTGTAGTTTCGGGGACAATTTAGACATGGTAGGCGATACACGACGTCCGACTGCTCACTGTGATTTAAACGGTCCTTGATTCGCATAATCCGGCTGCGCGTGGTAGCCTTGGGACAGTGTGCAATTCCGACGCCTAGTCCTGCAGCAATGCGTTCGGTCGCTTCCGATACCTCCTTGATGTATGGCAGCGCATGCCATATCGTACGCGTTGGTCCAAAACGGTTGATTGGCTCCTGCGTCCTCTGAATGTTTCTTTTTTTTCGTTTACGCCTTTTATCTCTGATGATGGACTCTAAAAAGAGCCCGAAAGCTCAGAAAAGTAAAAGTTTGATTCCGGTGATCGCAACGCTTTCTACTTCTCTATCTAAACACATATTTGAGATGCGAACATTTGCCTCAATTCGCAATCATCTAGAATACAACAGAATGGCAACTACGCTCACTTACTTGTTAGCAGCGAAGTAAGCAATAACTTGGGTGGGTAAAATCGATCCAAGTGTGCTCTATTTCACGACTCATGGTGAGCCTAGCAGCTCAATGATAGAGCGTTGGCTGCACAAAAGCCTTCCCTGCTGTCTGGGTTCCATTCTCACCGAGGCCGCGAATTTTTTAAAATTGGGTTAAATGAATTTAGTATGCTTGAAATGGAAAAAGTGTAGGGTTCCTTCAGTCAGGAACTGCTGAGGAACTAAGTAATTGTGATTTTCTTTTATAACCTGAAGCAGCGGTAATTTTCACCTTCAAATTAAAGTACTGGAAAATATAAAACCAATGAGGGAGTGTAAGCTCTCGAAGCTTTATCCCCATAAAATTCTGAGCATGTAAAGAAAAGAATAGTCCATATTAAGGATAGTTTTCATTTGCATAATCATAGCCTCTTTGAAACAGCTCCATTTTTGCAGTTAACTCTGTGCAGTTAGGTTAGAGCAGAACTGGAACCAAAATATTACGTTAAAATCGCAATGTAACCACCGTTGTCGCTGTTTGCTCTCCTGGGGACATAAAGCATCACCGGCGTTGTAACTGTATAATTTGCTCTAATTAAATGTTAAACACAGGGAACAGTTGCATGTAAACGGGCTTCAAAATAGGAAAGTCTTATTAATTTTGAAAGTTATGACTTTTCTGTACAGTTTCACCTATTTAAATAATATATTTGTGGAAAAAGAGAACCTGTTGAAAGTTATTGGATGCTTCAGCAGTTTTATGTACACTATCAAGCAAAATTTAGTGAATATAAATTATCAGAGAACTAAGTTTCTTCTATGTTCGTCTCCGAAAGTTCACTTCCATCTATTCCACGGTCACCGACTGCTTTCGTGAATGAGGAAATAAACACTCCTGGAAAGGATTCAAATACTTCGGATGTGGACAAATTAACGGGTGTATTTTCGCCCAGTTCTCGGGATGCAGCCGCAAAGGAAAACCTCCATTCGCTTCTCTTTTCACCGGAAACTTACAATGAAAGTGAACACTCGGGAGACAACAGCAAGATTTTTAGTTATGGCGAAACTGAAGATGACGTTTTTCTCCTTTCAACGTCATACAGCATAACAGTTAACGAGGAAATCACGAAGGACGACAGCAAAATTACCCGCGGTGAAAAGGCGAAAAACGAGTAATTCATTTTGATCAATTTTCTCTTCTACTTTAACATAACTGCTTTCCAGTATGCAGACAGGTTTAATACATTAAAGTTTAGCTACGGTGTTCATAGTTTGAGCAGGTTTTATTAGTTGCAAGTTTCACCCTTCAAATACTCTGTGGAAATATTTTGAAAGACCGCCAACTTTAAGCGTGAATTAGGAATTATCTCGCGTTTAGGACTGAGTACTACATGGACGCGTTTTAAGTAATGAATGGCATTATATTTGTATAAGGAAACTGGTACAGGGTAGTGGAAATAAAAAGTCTATTTTCTGGCATCATGCACACCTATTTAATTATGAACTCCTAACTTTTGTCTATTTTATCATGGAGTCCTTTTATCACCAACTTGACTATTTATGCCGCAGGGTCATGTTCTGCCGACCGCAATCGGGAGTTGCCCGAATCACGTGAATGTACCGCCTTAAAGGTGTGAGTGTCGCATGAAGTAGACTTGCTTCGTTTAGACTTCCACCTGTGAGCCTGAAACCCGTTGAACGCCTTAACATGAAAATACGCCACCAATAACTTTGGCGGCTCTAGGTTGAAGCCTCTAAGAAAATTCGAATAAATGTGTACCTTTTCGAAATAGGATCAGGAAGGCTTAGTGACCAAAATATATTGATTTTTGAAAGCTGCTCATTTAAAATGAAGTCAAAATTCAAGGAGCAAAAGCTTAGGAAATAAATACTACTTTATCCTTCATCATTTATTCTTTGAAATGAAAAGCTATTGGTCAGTCAACAGAAACCTCAGAATATTTGGTTAAAACAAATGTTTCTTCACAGAAAAATAGGTCAAATTTGGAAATGCTTTATTGACATGAAACTCACTATTTGTAAACATACACCTAGGGTGCATGCATTAAAAAATACATTCAAACCCTTTACGTTTCAATTGTAAAAATACAACGAACAAAATATACGAATTGTAGCCATCCGAATGTTTATAAGTGCAGATAGTAAATAATTTTTCAAGATTATAGACCCTTAGAAAGTTCTCTTTGCATAATCAAAAACAGAACCCGCCTGCGCTGAAGTATGTTTTGATCATTCTCAAGACGTTGCTCCTTTTTTTCTGCAACACTCTTTTAGTCTGACTGAATGCACTAAATATTCCCTCTTCCGGAATGTTTAGTTTTTTTTATTTCACCCAAATGGACATTTATCTAGATTTGTTATATCCTTCGCAGACAGGCAAGTATAAAGGACGAAGTTGAGTCTACGGAATGGCCACTAAAGTCTGCGGAAACTAAGCTTCCTAAGATAGTGGTTTCGGATGACACAGACACTCTGCGATCAGTGCGTCCTATGCCGAGATCGGAAATAGTTCCAGACGATAATTCCCGAGAAGAAAATTCCTCGGCAGACACAAGGTTTTATAAGGTACGCTTGAAGACAAAATTCATACCATATCCAATCAACTTCGGATTATAGTAAAAATAATTAAAGATAAGTAGATGCAGTGGCAAAATTCATTTAATATCTAATGAACTCTTTGAGGCCAAATTTTGGATCCACTATAATTGGCTCAAATTGAGATATTGACATCCAGCCCCATATCTATAAAATAAAATAAAATTTCTTATTTTTGACGGACTACGTTATCATATTGAGCGCTTGAAGGAAATTTTTCCAAAATACGTTCGGTTTGAGAAAATAAACACGGCTTTTGCAACTTTCCTACCTTAGCAAAGTGTTTTCTTAGATCTGGGAATTTCCTAGAATCCCTTGATCATTCGCGTACTCTAAAGCAAACATTGAACAATCAAAATAATCATTTTTATCCAATGCTACATTTACGGAATGGTAAAACTGCTCGAACGTTAATTGTATGAATTGACATATTGTACAGCATTCAAGAACAATAAGCACAAATTTGCGGAAATTTTAGTATTTCAATCCAAATATTCACAGTTCTGCGGACAACGCAAATCGACATTTGGAAGAATACACAGTGAAAAATAATTAACTTCCGCATAAGAATTTATATGCGCTTTTATTGCACGCTAACGATGTTTCCATTTTTAGAAGTATTTTTACTTCTGAAAATGCAAATAAAACATTTTCATTGGCTTTCACGTCCTTCCTTGTTTATATTTTACTTATAAAATCATACTTTTGTAAAATATGTTCTTGGTTTCGTCAGTTAAAACAATACTGTCATCAAATTCAACTCTTAATGGAGGTCGCACTATGCTAAAAGGCATATGTTGGCGCCCCAAAAGTATAATTTAACTGTTTGGTATGATGTTTTGTTTAATCAGAAACAGAAGACGATGATAAAACCATTTTAGTTTCTCATTTTGGATGATAAATAGAACAAAAGATTATTAAGGCATAACTAAGAATTTGCAACGAGGTTCCCTAGGCTGCCGTTCAGCCTGCCGCTAGTGCACGTGAGTAAACACATGATCTTTCTTGCTCTTAACACTTGGATTACAACTCCACTTCTGCTCGGGAGAAATTTCAGAATACGTGACGGCAAACTCTTCTACCAAGGATAACTCATATCATGAGAAAAATCCAGATCATAGCACACATGAGATTCAAAGACGTCCATTCACCAGCACTAGCACAGGTCATTATTTATTGACCTAGCACCATAAGGTTGAAAATATAGGGGTATGACCGAACTCTCCAACTTTTGATCCCTCTCCTTTTCGCCTGTATTCGGAGCCGCCCTTTAGGGCCCATTGACACAAAGAGGCAGTTTGTAGTATGTAACGCATTTGTCGAAAGTTGTTGGTGTAGACAGCAGAGGGTTCCCCAGAGCACAAGTCAGGAAAGACGGAATAGACTGGAACAGCCTTTCTACGGGAAAGTGAACTGTACAAAGGCTGCATCACGCGCCATTTTCCAGCCATGTCTGCATGCTAGATGTGTCCGTGAAGCTGTGAGACCTTAACCGCGGGATGAATGCTCTGTCGTCTGCAGCCAATCAAATGAGTTGGGATGATCGAGTAGTCTCGAGCGTATGCGCGGCGAGTCGACAGTGAGCGTGAGAAAGGACAATAGCGCACAGCGTGCAAGACTTGGTGAACAGAGCAAGCGTGAGTCATCGCCTCGGCGCTGGGCGCACTGACTACCACTGATTCGTGACACTCAGCAGTGGATGAGGTAACTGAATATGTATTATTTTTAGGCACTGCGATAAAGCTGTATAGGGTGAGGAGGAGGAGGGGGAGGAGGAGTATAGGGAGGCGGAGCTTTATTTCGTATAAATAAGCATTTTAACGAAAGAATTTCATTCAACACTTTCCTGTGTACAGGTAAAGCATAATACGAATTAGCATGGTAAATTGAGATTGATAGCCGCAGAAATATGCGATCCTATCTTGGCGAAAACTCTGTTAGCTACACATTCGAACAATGAGCAAAAGCTATTTTGGATCAGATTTCATTCCAACCATCGCACTCGTAGTGTACTGCAGAGTTTATTGAAAAAGTTAAGGCAGGGAAGCAAACTGGCTTGTCGACCAACTGCCTAGCAATACATTCATTCAGACCGTTTTTACGGCAGCCAGAGTAGACATGAACGGAAATTAAATATTTTCACACCCAAATTGCGTATTTCACTTCATGATGACACTTACTAGTTTTCACGTTTAACGTCACAAATATCGCTTTTGCCATCGGTGAGGTGGGGGCATCATACAATAGATGACTCGTTTGTGTGGTCTAATAAGGTCAACTGATCGGTTAAAAAAACGTTGGAAGCTTGTATCCACCTCACGTAATTTCTGTCGTAGGTCTAAAAAAGCCTTCTCAGCCATTCACATTGATATATGTGCCAAGCTTTCTCCTGACATCATGTGATGGGCCTTTGAAATTTTTCTGTAAGCACTTAATGAGTGTCGCTCTTTTTTAATGTGAAAACTTCCTTTTTACCTTCAAGCAAGAATTACATGCTTTTCGACATCACTGCGTTCCTCTTGCTTATTTTTGTCAATCTGTTATCATAAAAAACTTTCAAGATTGATATCTTACACGTTATTTAGGATTTTTGCGAATTTTAAGGAATCTAAACTCCATCCTGTTCGTGTAAATGAGTCTCATATCTACTGATCTGAAGAAGTTCAGATTATTCCGAATAAATTACGACTTGACTGTTGCCCTGCACCTTTAATAATATTTTTCTTCCCTCACTTGCAGAATTCTTCCATGTAATTTTGTGTCATCCTAGGCTTTTATCTTGGGACTTTCTAAGTAATTGTTCCGCGTGCAAATACTTTTCTGTTCACTTAGCCTAGTAAACGTTTGCAATTTAATCTATCTTGCGAATCGAGTCAATGTATATTCTGGTAAAAGTATACTTCTTCAGCGATTATGTTCGCTAAAGGTGCTATTGGTGTGTGTTTAAAATGCGAAAATTTCGCCGTTCCATCCAGAAACCTCCTCCATTCAGCCAAGAGCCCTGCGGCGAAACAGAGTCCGGAAAACGCGTTGCTGGACCTAAAGAAGAACAGGTTAAAGACGAGAACGGAGAAGACCAAGCCAACAATGAACAAAAACAAAAGAACACCACGAAACACGATAAAGAACCATTGCTTTTGGATCAGAATCTCACAGAATCCCAGAATCAGCAAACAGATTTGGTCAAAGAGACGTCAATGGTGACCACCGAACTGACCTTGTTAGGGCAATCAAATTCTAAGCTCCAGAATGAGAATATGGCCTTAAACCTTCAGATCCAGGAACTTAAGCAGGAACTTGCCGCGGCCAAGGACGAAGTACGAGCGATGAAGGGACGTTTGGAGAGATCCGAGGTAGGCTAATTGCCTTTTACTACCGCAGTTTTTCAGCCATTCTATTTTTTAAAGTCACGACTGGAACATTTAAAGCAACGACTTCCTTCATTTCATAAAGTTTTAAGTCTTTCTGTGTTTAATAACTAGTTTAAGCTGTGGTTTGAGAATTTTTATAAAAAACGGGTTATGGTAATAAGACGGTTTTGTTAAGCGAGTTTTTAAGGTTAGTTGATCAATTACTTGGATGTGACCGGCAATACATGTATTATGCTAAATACAATCGGCTGTAAGAGATGTTAAACAGTCAGTGATTTTGCAGAGCATCAACTAGAGAATACTAAGGTTTGTTTAAATATACTGATAACTTCCTGGTCTACTTTATCTCCGCTTACATTTGAGATGCGATCATTCTGTTTACCTTAAAGAACCAAAAACACTCCCATCCCGACCTACATACCTACAGTAGTCGCCAAG